GTTGATTGGTTTACGTGCCGTAAGTGGTAGTATAGATATCATTAGCAATTATGCGGTGGTTCAATTAAATATTTGTAATAAGTATGAATAACGCATGAGTGGTTGGATGTCTGCCTCATGTGACAGGTACAAAACAAATAATAGAGTGGCCTATTGTCGGCGCGACCTGAGTCCGACATGCATGAACAATGGCGCGCGCCTTCGACGCTGCGTGGTGTTGCCAGCAATATACATCAGACATCACTAAAAAAATATAATTAAATAATTTAGATGCCTTAAATAGGGGAAAAAGTGTAGAGCCAAAACTCTCATTCTGATCCGAAGTTGCTCGGTAATTACATTATATTTATACTTTAGATTATTTTAATTTGATCTTGATTGCGCCCATATCACGCGAGCTCGACGAGTAAACTCCATTTAGGTCTTTTTCTTTCAGCTTGAAAAACGGTTAAAGTTAAATCACTATCTCAAAAAGAAAACATATTGCAACGCAATTATTTCTAAATAGAAATTTGATTTTGCAGTTATTTAGATACATCGCCCAAATGTTGATTAAAAAAGAATGACCAATGAACCACCTTTCAGGGCAATAAACTTATAAATGGTTAAATCAATAAACAACGGGACCATGTCAGTGGTAAATATTTCCCACTAATGAGGGGAGTATCAACAGGCTGGTCACCCTACTGGGTCAAATGAGGCGCGGCGTCAATTCTCGGGTTGCACTGAGTTGGCGCCGAGACACATCCGAGAAGTTAGCACACCCATTGGAACATAAAAAAACAACAATGCACCAAAAGTTCCCTTCGTCGTGCTTCACTTCACAAAGTAACAAGCGACCGTAACAAACGAGTTCGACGAGGAATCGATTTCTTAAACGTGTTACGAGCTTGCAAATCTGAATCCAATAAAAATTTATCGTTTTTGCAAAATCACACATGAACCCACTCGAACAATGGAAATCAGCATTAGTTGTAAAATCGATCTGCGGAACATTGTTCACACTATTGTACAAAATTAAAAATCTCAACCACATCCTGTAACATTAATTATGTGACTTACTTATTTATTGCACCCGTTCATTTTAAGCATTAACTCCACCACTTCAACATTAAAGCCATTCAAGTATTTACAACACGAAATAAAACTAAACGACTCGACTGCATGACACAATCTCTCCAATGTCGAAGAGTAGAATTAGTTTAATTGGTCAATTAAACGGCACTATACACAACTCGAGCGTAGTAAATTCGAAGAGATAAATCATTTAGGAAATCAGTGTCTTAATTAGACTGAGAGATGTCAACGGAGCCAATGCCCCGGTCGGAATAAATCAGGACCTAAATTGCTTTCCGCAATGACACTCCCACCGCCAAGACGGCGTTAATAGCGCGTGCAACCGAAATATTAGACGAGTATTTGGAAATATTTTTTCTGCTGTAACCGAATACTGTAGCTCCGAGAAGGCGCCACTTGAGCAGAAAAAAACATGACTAATTGCATTCAGATCAACCAACAGCCAAATGCAAAAACTTGATTTTACGATTTCTAATTCCGTTGAACACACCTAGATAAACATTTGGTAAAAAATATGTTAGACATTAATATCTCAAAATAGATTTAAAACTATCAATGAGGCGGAGGTACTATTCAATTTTACTGCACTATAAAAGATTGACTCAATGCGTACACTCTAAATTACCTATTACTTAGATGCCCAATATAAATGCAATTAACAATATTGTTATTGAATCGCTTCGCCTCAATATAACCATGGGTATGCTAACTAACATCAAATGATTCGGATTTAATTACCTCGATCAACATCTCCGCCCCGTTCGGAATCGAAGAGCCGTAAATCAACAATAATAATACTGAGCTTTCGTTTTTTTATTGACTAAACAAATCTTTATCAACGCAATTACAAGATCGTTAAGGTGCACTCTTAATTTAAATATTGCTTATTTTTTACGGAAATGTTTATCTTTCAATATTTGTTTTTCTATTGATTTTGAGAGTTGAAAGGATGACTAATACGAAAAGAACTTTAACGCATTCTATTCTCCAATACTGCGTTATCTTTGGTACCTATTGAATAGGTTTGTAACATGAGACACTTTTAATGGCATAAATGCGGTCGGGAATACAACGATACAACGCAAAAACTTTTAGATGTTAGATAACTTCAACAAGATGATAATCTGATGTTAAAAGATGACATACAAGTTACAAAATGTTTGCACACATTTAGCGAGTGAACAGTATAAAAATGCTTGTGGTGTTTGCGAACAGGAATCACTCTAACACAGTTCCAAATTAGAAATCGTCGTCGAACGCAAACGGTAAATATTTACGTTAAATTGTAAAGGCAAAGTTGGCTTTGACCGTAGTAGGTAGAGATCAATTAATTTATCTCACAGGCTAATCATCGTAAGGTTAATAATGAATAAATATTTAAGTAGTGCCCCTTTGTGTAGGAAACATTGATGACACATTTAAGTATCTCGATTCAAAGCGATACAAGAAAGGCGTGTCATAAAAAATATCATAAGAACCCACACAGAGAGGCATTTCCACAAATCTATAATTCTTTCAGCAAGTGAGGCAAATACGAAAATAAGCATCAAAGTGTTTTTTAGAGGAAAGACGACAAATGTCAACCAGCCAGGCCCAGTAGCTAACACGTGTTACATATTGTCTGACAATATTTAATGTTGCTTTATTAGCTCGAGAGGCGGACACAAGAAAATGAAAATAACCAACGTTCTACATTTCAAAGCACGTGTTATGATCAACAGTGTGATGAACTAATTGGAAACAAACTCAAAACATTTTGAAGAAACAGGGGCATGTAACGCTAAATTATTGAACCTACCCATTCGTAAAATTCTTCAAACTTTCAGTCCTCTATACTAATTGTTTCTAGGATGAGAAATGAATACAGAAACAACGGACGAGACCCGTCAGATAAATCTTAAGTAATTCTCATTAAGTCCGGTTAACAACTATTCACATGGCTATGCGAGGATACCAATAAAATTCAAATCCAATTGCGTCGACCCTTGATTTACAACGAATCAATAAAAGAGAAGGCTATCATTACCTTTTTTATTGCGTATTCAATAAAAGTAATGTAGTCAGTAATCAACGCGCGGGCAAAACAACAGCTTGGAATAAAGCCTAGAGCCCTAGGGCGCACATCATGGGACAGAGCACTATTTCTTGCTCGTGTAGTTATCAACCCTGTCCGAGCTCATTAAACATTTTGTAGTAAGAAGTAGTCCGAAGATATCGCGACGACTTAGATGAACAGCTGCTCTTAGAGCGCGGATTTTGGTATTATACAGAAATTTTCGATCTTGGGAGGAAGTTACTCGTCACGGCAATAAGACAGTATGGACTAAGTAATGAAAAAAGTTATTATATTCGTCCAATTAGCAGAACGGCTAAACTGGTTTTTGTTAGCAATGTTACTCGACACCGTCAACAACGTTTCATTCAACGTCCTGTGATTAGTTTCAATCACGTAGCTTTTATTAACAATAATATAAATGACTCGACACTCCAAGTTTAACGTCAACATGCAAATTCATTATAACATGCAAAATCCATAATTGGAATGACTTGGATGAACCCAAAAGGTATAATTGCGCATAATAAGTAGTTTCTATTGCTAGAATTATTTCGGCAAACATTGTAATTTATTGGTCCCCATTAAACTAAAGGGTACGTTTCCGAGTTAGCGAATTAATAGTGGTCAAGAAAGATGTAATAAAAGGGCATAGACACCTATTGTTTGATAGAGAAAAAAAAGACGAGGTTCGGGGTATGGCTCGTAAAATACGAGTAAAACAAGGGACTATGTCCGGACTGGAGATGTGTCAAGATAGCATGCGGCGGGGGGCGGCCGGCGCCGACGCGCGCCCCGGTGCCCAATTAGAAACACACCTTTTGGACATGTGCTCTCGCTAACTAACGCTTTAAAATCCAAAAATATGGAAACCCAACATCCGTTATCGTTTGTCACAGAAAAAACTAGGAAGCATGGGAAATCGTGTTTGTTTATGTTTATTATGCAGTAACATATTTAAAACCATTGGAGCATTAGTAAGGAATTTGCGGAAAAATCTTTTTGTCTCATTTTTAGATTATTGAATACGAAATCTCTTAAAAATACCATATTTGGCTTCTAGTACCTACTTTAAAATATCGTTAAATGTAAACAAAATACATATGTACTTGAAAAATAAATTCCAAAGTCTAAAAAGTTAAGTTAAGTAATATTTCAAGTTTAAAAATCTCATTTTACCTACAAAAATAGCAGTTTAATAGCTTTTAAAACCTTTTGACATGTTGCTGCTAAGAAAATCATGACTACCGGAAGTGGTAACCTCTACATTAGCGATGCCGCGATGTCCTTTTAACTTCTTTTGTACATTGTTTTAAAGCGTTTGCGTATTTCCGGTGTAGCAAACATTTTCAACATCACCTCTCCAAAAGTCCATCGACGTCATGTATACTATGACTTTGTATACATTTGACCTACTTCGACAGAAGGTAAATCAGAGAAGGGCCAAATTGCCGCTTGTTTGTATTCGTCTAAATCAACGTTATTGTCATAAGACTATAATATTATCCCATGGGATTTCATTACCAGTTTGGGATCGTTAAAACGGAATGCAACCTCTCATGCAATTTTTCGTTGTCTAGATCTACAGCTTAACGAAGTTTGATATTGTCTCAAATCGGAATCGGAGACTCTACATTAACGTCTGCTAAAGATTATAATGAAATTCCAGGCTTTTACCTGTCAAACATTGTACAAGTTGTACTGATTAAATTATTAATAATAACAATCTAGAATATACAACAGGAGGACCTACATCATGGGATACTTGACTCCGAAAAGTTTAAGAAACCTACATTATGTTCCTAAAGGGTACATTCGAGCGCTAGTTTCACTGCGATTCCATATGTGAAGTTAATAAGATGTGACTTACCTTTGTCTTCACAACTTTCACGTTTTCTTTGCACATTTTCGCTAGGGCGTGATATTCTCCTTTGGCGGCGCACAGTATCCACTGCTTCTGCTTAGAATCTAATGGGTCCGTTTCGCTTTTCTGGTCCAACTGAAAAATAAATCTAAAATACAAGAGTCGCTATGGTAACTAGATCTGCATTACTTATATTGTTTTAAACTTTCAAGGTCACTAATTTAAAAAAAATGGTATTTACGGGATTGCTACCATGTACCGTTTTAGGATTTTTATTTTGGTTACTTCGAGATCATGGCGCTTGCAACAGTGCCGAAATATCGCGAGCTTCGTAAATAAAAAGGTACAAGGTAGCAAATTGGTAATCCTGTAGATAACCGTATTCTAAGATATGTATTAGTAGTTAATTGCAATGCAGGTAAATGTAGTGGTTATTTGCACATACAAAAATAACAGTAATGAATACTATCGTTCATAACGATATAACAGTGTATTTGTAAACTACATACTTTACTTTATGCTATGTATTTAATTTTTGTTTATTAAAATAGTTTATAGACGGGTAGAAGGTAACTAAAATTAAGTTTAAAAATACTGAATTAGCAGCTAGAATTGCACAAATGCCAGTACTCACCGATACTCGATCTTCCTCGTCCACACCCTGCTGTAACAACGAAAAACAACGATGAATTCACACATATTCATATATTTTTCATCAATTTAGCCCCCTGACCATATAATTTAAAATCAACATTCATCCATACTAATTTAATTCACGCGTTCATTCATGCAGCTCAAAACGTTTATTAAATGAGTACACCACATCACTAACGCACTCAACGGCCGAAAACAAAAGATTAGGATTATAAATAAAGATGATACTTACATACATAATAAATATCTTAACGACACATATAAATTAATCGGAACCTAATATTTCAAAATTAATAAATGAGTACTTATATTGTGAAAATAATATTTTGAATTAATGGTCAATAAATTCGAATTCTCCCGTCTTCAGGCTTGCGATGCGATTGATGTTTTACAATGCGTGCGATAAGTGATGTGAATAAATAGGGTTAATTAAAACCCGTAAGATACGTATAATACAGTTCATTTTTGAGTAGTGTGCGTATGGAGTTACAATGTTTGTGAACGGCGCTCTGGGCGTGCGCTGCTCAGCATGACCACTTTACCACCTGTCGTTACATATTTATGTCTACACTATTGGCTTCACTGTTAGGGATTTCGATATTGACAAGATAACATCCTTAATGTGATGTGTTTGATTTAATAATAAGATTAAGTTTGTGCCTCTTTCGTATTTGAATTTTGCGTTAGCACAATTGAAACTAGATTGCGTTCGTTGACAGCGTGTTGATTCGAATTTAAATCTCGTTTGATGTTGCTATTAACTTTACAGTGGCACCGATTTAATGCCTAGCTTCAGTAGAATTATTTAATGATTCAAGAAAGTCATTTTGTTGACCACGCCTACGTAAAGGGAATTTACGACGGAGAGCTCTCTACAATTAGCGGAATATCTTATGTACGGAATAAACGTGGTGATATCTAGTAGGTACCTAATAGAAAAGTAATAGGATAATACTTGAGAAATACATATAAGCCAACTCGGCTAGTTTTATATTTTACTATCGTCATTATTCATTAAATATTTTTTGCAAGCAAATCTCTGGTGTCACAAAGAAATGTGAACAGTAATGCTACATGCTACTATGTACACTTGCTTTATAATAGAATTTCATTGCAAATAATTCAATATTTATATAACAATAGTCGATTGTTCATAAACTATTGAATTGGAAATTGTATGCGGAGTCGGTGCAACGAGTCGTAGAAATAAAATGCGAATGGTGCGTACTGATAACTTTAGAATTAAATAACATACTCGCATTGCCAAAATACAAGCGTATTATGATTTATTTTAACAGCAACAGTCAGTGCAGCAATATTGATATTGATTTAGGCACACGCACAAATAATAAGTAAAATATAAAAAGAATTTCTGATTGATATGACTCATCTTAATTGTTATAACTGTAAAGACGAGTGATGTACAGGAAGAGGGGAAATAAAGACATTTAGATTTTTCTCAATTAAATCTAGTTGCATAATGGAATGTTATACAATTTTAGTTTTGTGCTTGTTCAATAAAAAACCTTGAAGTAAAGCACAATGGATTAAGCTTCGAAGATGTTACGTGTTACGTTTTAATAAAAAAATAAAATAAGTACCTACTGCTTGAATCTAAAGTTAATGCACAATTTTATCTAGCGATTCGCAACAATGGTTTTGGAAACGATGTGTTTTTATTTAGTGCAATCAGCTGTTCTCAAGTAGTACGTGCTTCGGTACGTTTAATAGTATAATGTACCTTGGTATGGCACCTTTTATGACTGCAGTTTGTTTAAATTAAAAATATAACCATTCATGACGTACTATGGCGTTAAGTCGAGGACACAATCCGCCTAGGGCACTACTTCAAACTAAATACACTGAGCGATCTATAAAGCTCTATGGAGCTTTCTCTTATGGATTAGTTCAGTGTATATCCCAAAATAACAAGCTAAAAAAAGTTGACTGCCGATGAGATCGAGGACTGAAAACTCTACTCTTATTTCATTTTGCTTTGAGGGCCGGTGCAGCAGTAGGGAGACGAGGTTCTAGTGTTATAAACATTTATTAATTACTGGTCTTAGATCAAATCTAAAATCACGAAGGAGCATCAAGAAGGATGGGATATACTCGATATTTTTTCTCAATTTTAGTAGAAACAAGGTAGCTATGCCTTGCCAAAATGGTTACCAAAACCAGACGCTGAGAAAGGTGACTGAGTGTCTTGTGCCACTTCTCAGCATCAGCCGATTATGATGTTCTGAAGTTACCGTAGGGCAAGCTATATTTGAGAAGTGTGTAACCACCCGGAAAAAGACCTAAATACTAAGAGGATTTGAATTTGGTTAACTATGGCTGAGGCAGAGCTCATAAGGAATTCTTCTTTCCTGTCCTTTTGCCTTAAAGGAACTAAAGGTTATTATAATCTCTACTTTTGGTCCCTAATCGGAACGTGTATGGACAAAATTCTACGTGCTTTGCGACCGGAATTTAGTAATCGGATACTACTAGTTCTCGAAGGAGTCTGCGAACGAATTTCGTGCGAAACGACTACTTACCCGGTGGACGCTATGACGCCCGGCACGTCGCGGTGGCGGCCGGGACGTTTACAATCGATATGTTGTCAGCTAACCGCAAGATACTTTTTACAAATGTTCATTAGCAAAAGCTATCCTTTTCTAAAAAAAAATTCGTTCCTGTCTTTTTACCTTAAACAAAAGGTTATTAAAATCTACTTGTCATATAGCCAGGAACCCATAGTTTCGACATTGGTCCCTAATAGGAACTGAGTGGTGGACGCTACGTACGGACGCCCGGCACCGCGTCGCCGGGCCGGCTCGCTCCGGGACGCCTCGGCTGCCTCAGCGATCGCCGGCCACGCCGCTGTGGTGGCCGGGACGGCTACAATCGATATGTCGTCAGCTAACCGCAAAATACAGCTGTTTACACGATTACTTGCAAAAGTTTAAAAAATGCGGAAGGATAACTGATTTTACTGGAGGCAAACAGGTGGTTTCAGCACCAACAATACAACATAAGATATACCTAACGGTAATTATAATCGCCGTAAAAGTAATTTTAAGTAGGTAACTTTATATTGAACCGCACCATAGTTATTAAGTTTTGCACTATAAACTTAAGAGACCCTTTATTTTGCCATCGGCATTTCTAAAACCGCCGAGCATTTCAAAATGTACCCACAAAACCGAAATGACGAATAATGCAATTTAACGACAGATAACCTAATTTGACAGGATTGATTGGGACTTTATTTCGGAATGTTACGATTTTGATATAATACTTAATTAGCCAGGCGATTAAAATATCCTTGTCCAATTAATTTTAATACCTTTGTGCCTTTGTACTTATTGCTCAATTTTAAACGAATACTATTAAAACCGTATCTAAATGGATCAAACCACTTACTTAAATACCATTCGTTTGTACACACAAATAATCTCTCACACTCTTCACCACGCGTAATGCGCATACACTTTCGTTCAATAGCAGTTATGAGATGCAAATAAAGAAGTATGAGCGTGCTAACCAATATTTAAAAAAGTCAAACTGCAAAAGTATGTCCAGCCGATGTCTCGTGCACTAAACGGGGATAGGTCAAGGCGCAATTGATGTCAGGCACCGTCCCCGGAGCCAGCAGGCGAGCCCGCCGCGCCCCGGGACGCCGCGCGCGCCGGTCACCGCTGGGCCACATTATGGTGGCGACGGGACGGCATTACGATCGATACACATCACTCGACAATCCACCCACCGAGATTTATCCCATCCATTCATCGCTACACCATCACCACCCAAATATTTCACATAAACTCTACCCGTTAAGTTTTAATTCACAAACCGAAAGTTACATTATCTGGAACAAAACTCAGCAGGCCAAGAATGAGTCATGAAAACCAAATAATGCATTGTTCATCAAAGCAGCAGCAAAAAACTAATAAAACAACAATCACTTTATTTCACTTGCGAGTAGCTGTAAACAAATTATATGTAAGACTTGTAACGCACATTACGAATTAGCGATCCTCGCGGAGATTTGAGATACTATCATCCGACTGGCGCCTACGGGGTCCGTCTAGATGTGTCATTTCAAAGTTTCATGATTGAAGTAATAGCCGTAATTAAAGACTACGATAAAAAATCTGGCTCAAGTGATATTCACGGAGTGACTGACGTAAACACTCAATTGTTTTATCCTCCTATTATGCAGTGGCTCACTTTTATCTTTGAATAGCTGACAGCTAATTCATCTGTTCCTATTTTCCATCACTTCGACAAGGCTCGTTAAGTGTGGCATCCGCGTTGTTGATGGCTGCAAGTGATTCTCAGGCCCGAATAGCGGAGGAACAATGAAATCGGTCATATTTTCCTGCCAGCCCGCAACGGACCGTGCCTGCTTATCTGCAGCATCGTGCATAACAACTAAAATGCGTTTATTCAAAACAATGATGACGTCTACTTAAAACGAAGCTTATTTTCGCTACCTTTTTGAAGGATTTATCGAGGTACGTGAGAAAGGTAATTAATTTTGGATTTATACTAAACAATAGCGTATTAAATACTTAGACCCCGCCGCGTATACTTTTATAAGTACCTCATACGTGTTGTGAGATAAGACACGCGTAAAGCTACGCTAGTAAATAAATCTGCATTTATTAATAGTTGAATTTTTTTATTAACAAGAAAATTAAAAATCTCTTAAATTATATAACGTATCTTATTTACTACTAGTAAAACAGTATTAGTACGAACGTCAATTAGTATACCTACATGAATATTCATTTGTTTGTTTAAAAACAATCCGTGTAAATCATTAGGAAAGCAAAATACTTGATGTAACTTGGTTTTATGGTTGCTTTTTTTACCAGTCCACATCACTGGAAGCCATCGATAAAGAAGTCATCAGTACTTTTAAATGGCAGGAGTACTAGATCTAAAATTAAACACAAAACGCGGCGACGGGCTCATAAAAAGTTTACGTAGTGCTTAGCCACTTAAAACGAATTGAAATCC